CCATTTATCCATCTGCATCCTTTTTTAACCATTCCTGTAATCCAAACTTAGTAAAGATGCGTGAAGGGGATACTCTATATTTTAGAGTATTAAAAGATATTGAGCCAAACACAGAATTGTTCATAAGTTATGGTAATTACTCAAATGAAAATGTTCAAATAAGACAAGAACAACTAAAAGAATGGTTCTTTAATTGTTTGTGTAAAAAATGTATCAGTGAGCTTGGAATGGAGCTTAAATGTAAATAGATAGAATAACTAGTATACTATTTAGTAAAATCGTATTCTTTGTAAAACTTTTTAAATTCTTCACATTCTTGTGTTTCTTTATATTTCGATTGCTGACATTTATCCCAATATGTTCTTTTTGGGCATTTCAAAGTATATGCGAGAACTCTTCTTGGAAATTGTAGATCGATGGCTTTAGATTCGTCCTTGAGCTGAGCAATATAAACAGTTCTATTAGATTCATTATGACATATAGTGAATAAAATATAATCCGAATTACTTAATATTTCCAATAGCTTGGGGTCGTTGGTATCTTTAAATTCTTCAAAATTTAGCTTCTGGTTTCTTTCAAAATTTTCATTATTTAGTTTACTCTTCTCTTCCAATGCCTTGGGAAAGGATTCTATTAAATTTTCACCCACTGGTAAAAACTGCACATGCTGATGTACATTGGTTTTACGATTAATTTCAAAAAAGACAAGCTTTAAAAAGGGTTTTGAAATGGCAAATGCCTTCACTAATGAATCTTGATATTTGACTATTTCTTGGTATACTGGAGACTCAATAACATTATCAGTCGTATTTCTCAATGTCGCCATATGCTCTATTGGGATAATGATTGCATGTCCCGAGAATGGTAAGTTCTTTGATGGTCTAGTTAAAGGTCCTTTTGCAACTGTCATGTAGGTATATGAACCAATGGATATAATCATATGCGTCTCAACCTTTGGATTTGACAAACAAAAGAAACATTGATCAGGAGTAACTATCTTGACCCTCTTGATGGGTGCGATATCCTTATCCACATCTTCTATTGGCCTCTTAGTAGGTTCAGACGTATCTTCAATCTTAATGGTGAAGGGGTTTTCCACCAATTGTGCCGGTGACGATTGCGTCAAGTCATTAGCTATTTCAAACGCATAAAACCATTTGTCACCACTGCCTTCTTGACCCAAGCTGATAAACCTGGTGATGGTTTCATCATCCCACTTAAATGGTTCGTTTTCAAGATATCTTCCTCGCTCATTTCCCACTGCAAAGTGATATCTAGGCTTGATTTTCTTAACAAGAGAATCGATCTTATTGTTAGCAACTAACAACAACTTGCGCTGCTTTGCAATAGCATAGGGCCAGTTGTACGTTACCAAAATATCTATATTACCCACGCCTATCTCTTTTTCTATATTCTGCTGGATTTCTTCGGTTATTTCTGTTCCTGCTAAATAAGCGATCGTCAACCCCGATGCAAGTTTGAATTTGGTGAATGGAGCCTTCATATACGTCAAATTCGACTTAACATCTACTAACCTACTTTCTGTATCCCCTATCGGAACATTTTCACTGATACCATTAGCCCCTTGGGTGAAAAATGCACTCTGTTGAATCTCATTGCTTGGTACTCTTGAGCCTGCCGGTAAGACATCTCCTAACAACAATATTGCTTCGAACGGCCCAATCTTTTGATTCTGTACATTGGCTTTCTCTATAACCTTATCCAATCCTTCAGGTGAAGGATTTAATACCAAAAATTTGTGCTTATTCGACATTTGGGCTAATGATTAACTCACCTAAACAAAGTATCTATACCGATGCTCTTCTCATCTTTTTATAGAATGTTATATGCAGGAACATACATTTCCCGTTCAGTACGTTTTAACATAGGCATTTACTTCCTATATTGCGGTCTTCATCTGACATCCTATCATAGCTAATGATTCTATCAAAGTATATGAAATTCGAGACCAATGCGACTATTTGCTGTTGTATTTCTTCTTTCAATTTAATGTTATTTCGTATTGTGTTATTTAAGAACTAAATTGTCACAATTTTTAGAAATTATTCAGTTTTTTGAATAATTCGGATAAAATGGCTTCTCCTCTCCAACTTCCCCCAAACCCTCTTTTTTGAACTCCTCTTACTATTTAATATTTTAACCTTTACATTTACATCGACCCCACTTCTACGATGAAGATATCAAAACCTGTTTATTTAATGAATAATAGACTGGCATAATGTAAATTAGGAATATGGGGTAGATGAATATTACCTAAAACCCAAATTCTCATAATGCCGTATTCGTAATTCCGCTAAAGCAAGTATCGAAAATAAAATCTTTCTCATATTGTTTTGCAAAATATTGTTAGATAACCCACCCATATACGTCACGTATTTGGATAGTAGCGTTATGATATAATATTACGGGATTCAACAATCTCATGTAGAAAGTTCTTAGAGATATATGAGCGAAAAACGTAGGAGCATGTTCAGTTTATTATATTGGCGCATTACTTGATTAGGTATATAGGAACAATAAGTTTATGAGCGTAAAATTCTCAATCAAGTATAATTTGATTGCAGTAAGATAAGAGAGCGCCTTTCAAGATTGCGGTATGAATGAATCAGTATATATATGTACGAAAGTTCGGTAAATATAATGAAGATATTAGTTTGGAAACAGTCTTAAACATTGTTCGAGACTTTGAAAGTAGCAATATAAAAAGATGAGCGTACTATCTAAAAAGGACTTTGGTACCACTATTGACGTGGAAAAGGTTGGTTCAGTGGATGTGCTAAACAACACCACTAATTTTGCTGATTTTAATGATAAAATAGATAAAGATAAATATGGTGAGACAAAGAGAAAGTTGAGTCTGAGACATGTTGCATTGATGATTATTGGCCAGAGTATTGGAACCGGGTTGTTCATTGGTCTTTCAAGTCCGTTAATGACTTCTGGAAGTTTATCTTTATTTATAGGATTCTTATTCTGGGCATGTTTTGCGGTGTGGCCGTTGATGCAATGTGTTGCAGAAATGTGCTCGTTTCTTCCTATCAAGGGAAGTTTTTTGCATTATTCTGCCAGATGGGTTGACCCTGCTATGGGGTTTGCATGTACTATGATCTACTTATATACTACATTGATGTTCGTCTGTGTGGAAGTTGTGGCATTTGCGTCGGTGATAGGGTTCTGGACCGATGCTAACCCAGGGATATTTATTGCCGTGGGAATATTATCGATTTTATTTTTCAATGTATTTGGTGTTAATTGGTATGGTGAGATCGAGTTTGTGTCGTCGATGTTGAAAGTTTTACTTATAGTGGGGTTGATGTTTTTCGGTTTGATTGCCATGTGCGGTGGTAATCCTAAGAAGGATGCATTTGGATTCCAACACTGGTCAGAGGGTGATTTATTCAAGTCATACCTCGTACCTGGCGCCACTGGCCAATTTCTTGGTTGGTGGAATGTTTTAATCTACGCAGCATTTGCTTGTGGGGGTCCAGATATCCTAGGAATGATTGCAGGTGAAGTGTCACAGCCTCGGAAGGTCATTCCAATGGCCGGCAGAAGAGCGTACATCAGAATATACTTATTCTACTTTGGTGGTATCTTTTTTATGAACTCTTTATGCGCATCAAATGATCCTGCTTTAGTGGCCGCATCAGCAACTGGGAAAGTAGGAGCTGCAGCGTCTCCCTGGGTCATTGGGGTTAAAAATGTGGGTGTTACAGGATTAGACTCTTTGGTTAATGCAGTAATCATGTCTGCAGCCTGGTCTTGTGGTAATGGCTTTTGCTATGCTGCTACTAGATGTGCGTATAGTGCTTCTTTAGCCGGTTACTTACCTCGTTTCTTTTCAAAGTGTTTAAAAAATGGTGCCCCTATTTACTGTGTCATTGGTTCCTTATTGATTGCATGCTTATCGTTCTTGAGTATTTCAAGCTCCACGGCACAAGTGTTCAACTGGTTTATTAATTTAGCTACGACAGGATTATTGTGCACCTACTTTGTATTATGGCTCTGCTACTTCAAGTTCCGTCGTGCCTTGGATGCCCAGGGGTTTGACTACAAGAAAGACACCTATTACCAGCCACCATTCTTCTGCCAGCCTTACATGTCATACTTCGGTTTTTTCTTGACAGTATTGGTGTTGGTCTTCAATGGGTTCTGGATTTTCTTCCCCGGTCAATTTTCTGTTTCTAACTTATTTACTTCCTACTTTGCTCCTGTTTTCTTCGTTGTCTTATACTTTGCATGGAAATTCATCAAGAAGACCCATATCAGAACAGACGCGGAAGCAGATATCACCACCGGAAAAGAAGCCATAGATCTCGAAGAAGAAGAAGAAAACGAATGGATAGCTTCACAACCTAAGAAGACTGGCTTTCTTTATAAAGCATATGATAAATTTTCCGACGTTTGTTTTAATTGATTTTAAATGAATATGCCACTTTCAGTTCTCTAATATACATAAGTGTATGTATTAAGGTTTCATAGTTTAAACTACTTCACATATATATATTAATACAAAGGATATTACAATTACACCGTAAACTAGTTGAATAGCATACTAGTTGTTGCAGCAATTTATTCATATTAGGTCTAAGCCCTATGCTCATTCTCATGAAACTGTCATTTTATCATGTAATTTAAAACAGTCACAGTCACAATTTTGGTTACGAAGCCCCCATTCCCTATACTCACTGGAAAATTTTCAGGTACTAAATATTGAAAAGAACTGAACCAGCCTAAAGACTTAGCTACTTTATACAATAACTAAAGAATATGGGTAAATCGTATGTGAAATAACAGTTTGAGGGATATAGTTCAGTGTGTCTTGTTCTAATGTAGAGGTTGACAATAATATTCATGGAAGGCAAGCTATTTGGAGATATATTAGGCATGGAATTTTGTACGAACAGCAGTTGAAATTTCAGAATAATTATGTTAAAGAGACTTATAGTGGCTGAATAGGATGTGGAGAATTTACTGAGATGGAGAGAACGTAATAGCTAAGAAGAGATGTAAGCTGAACAATATATCCCGAAAGACAAGTTGAATGTAATACTAACCTAATTTAGTCGTGGTTATAGATCCGGTACTCGTTACCTTTTCCAACGTGACTTTAAGAAGCATGGTGCTATTCCATTATCTACTTACTTAAAGACCTACAGAGTTGGTGATATCGTTGATATCAAGGCCAATGGTTCTATCCAAAAGGGTATGCCACACAAGTACTACCAAGGTAAGACTGGTATCGTTTATAACGTCACCAAGTCTGCTGTTGGTGTTATTATCTACAAGGTTGTTGGTAACAGATACCTCGAAAAGAGAATTAACTTGAGAATCGAACACATTAAGCACTCCGCTTGTCGTCAAGAATTCATCAACAGAGTTAAATCTAACGCTGCTTTAAAGAGAGAAGCCAAGGCCAACGGTGAACACGTCCACTTGAAGAGACAACCAGCTAAGCCAAGAGACGCTAGAGTTGTTACTACCAAGGAAAACGTTCCACAAACCTTAGCCCCAGTTCCTTACGAAACTTTCATTTAAACAACATCAACGAAGTTACTATATACTTATTTTTACTTGCGTGTTTTCACATACATGTTTCCGGAGTATACACCCTATATTTACGTTAATGTTTGATTCTGATAGTTAGGTTCGGTTAGGTTCGGGTCTGTTCTCTTTTTTTATAATTTGTATAATTAGTTTACCTTTTGGGCAATGCAAATAACCTCCATGTCACTTCCGAATGTAAGATATGTAATCGTACTCATAAATCATAGACTCAGAATTCAAGATTATTCCAGTCAAGACTATTGATAGAAACACATTAGTCGACTATTACACGCAGTCGTCATATCTTCTCCAATCACTATTCCGCTACCCTCTATAATGCAACTTAATCAAATCACATTATAATGCGGATTCGTCTACATTTCTACAGTGTCGTTCATATTTTTCGTGGTTGGTTGTATATTAACTCCTACTTTTAATATGACATATTCCAGTGTTATGATGTGGGTTCAGAAGTTCTCTTAAGCGTCTGTGATATTTTTGTAACAAGAATAGTTTGCGCCAAACACCTTAACCAATAAAACCCTACTCTCTCGTATGAGAAAGCAATTTCAGAGGAATCTCTCCCGAAAGAAAGACTACAACTCTAAAGGGAATTGTCTTGAATAACGCGAGATTTCATCATGAGTATAAAACTTGGAAGGTCATATGAGAGAATAAATCTTACAAGTTTCGTAGAAACTGATGGGCTAAAAGTCTTTATATAGTAGGATCACAATAGCCGGGTAACGCGTTGAAAAAATTAATCTGGTGAGGGCCTATATACAAGCATACTCATCAGTTGCAATTTTTTTATAGGGCCTTATAATCTACTATTTAGGGATATAATAGAAGTATTAAGGATAAATAGAAATCATAATGGCACCAAAGAGAAAGGCAGATAACTCTTTGAGTTCGAAGAAACAACGGAAAACTTCAAATGGGAAAAAAAGTGCTATATTATCCGTAGAAGAAATACAAAACCTTGGAGATCAAATAACGACCTCATCGAAGCATTATAACAACTTTGTACAATTATTGGAACAGTACAGCTACATCAAGAAGGAATTATCAGAAAGAGAATCAGAGGAAGTAGAAACCATAGGTCGTCAACTTTCTATTACGTTATATAAATGTTTCCAATACTTACTCAAAAATGACGAGATGAAAAATAAGAAATCTCATGATGATAAGAAGAAAATGGTAGTAAAATGGCTTTTGGATAAGTACGATGCATTCAAGAAGATCATAAACGAGTTTATTGTGCAAAGATTGGCATTTGAGACATCATTACAGGTTGACTTATTAGAAATAGGATTAAACTTGGTGAAGTTGGAGAGTGCATGCATGAAATCAGGCGAGAACGATTTATATTTCCCTACATTGACATACAAAGGATTAGTGGAAGCATTGTTGTTGAGCGAGAATGGAGAGATTGATTCCAATGGATCGACGGAGAATTTCATTATTTTGGAATTCATTGAGAAGTTTAAGAAGAACTGGGACTTACAGTTCTATTTTGTCAACAACTTGCATGAAACATTAAATACATGGAAAGCAGAAAAGACAACTTCACAATTAAGAATGATATTTGCTAACTTTTACTGCATATTCAAGAACCAATTATTATTCACGCCTGAAACAGAAGTCCTTGAACAAGAAAAAACGTGGATTAAACACCAACTCCCTTCGATAGCATACAAAATATCACAGTTTAAAATGCAATACCAGAAGTGTATCATCTCCATATTATCATATCCATTATTAATTTCGCAATACAAATCAATCTTGCTCATTTTGCACAAAAGAGTTATTCCATACATGGCTCAACCACAGAGTTTGATGGATTTCTTAACTGACTCGTACGATGTTGGCGAGGACGGAGTTGTGCCTATTCTTGCGTTGAACTCTTTGTACGAACTTATGAAAAGATACAACTTGGAATACCCTGATTTCTACACAAAGTTGTACTCCTTATTGACACCAAACTTATTGTACACTCGTTACAGATCCAGGTTCTTCAGATTATGCGATTTGTTCCTTTCGTCTACTCACTTGTCTGCCAATTTGATTGCATCCTTCATTAAAAAATTGGCTAGATTATCTATAACGTCGAGTGCGTCGGGTGTCGTCATAGTTATCCCTTTCATATACAACTTGTTAAAGAGACATCCTTCGTGCATGATTATGTTGCACAACCCTGATATTTCTGCTGCTCAATATGAAGATACCTTCAACAACGACGAAACAGATCCTTTGAAAACTGGTGCGATGGGCTCATCCTTATGGGAGTTGGAGGCCTTGATGTCACATTACCATCCAAATATTGCTACATTAGCTAAAATATTCGGCGAGCCGTTTAAAAAGCTCAACTACAACTTGGAAGATTTCTTGGACTGGAGTTATATATCTTTGTTAGATAGTGAAAAGAACAGAAGATACAAGACTCTTGTTGCTTTAGAATTCGAGGAATGGGATATGTTATTCGATGCTAAAGACAGACACGACAGTACTACAGTTTATGCTAAGGGCTGGTGCTTGTGATAATGTCACAATATAAATATATACACATACAAACTTATTCAATAGATCAATATATATTCTCTAGTTGGCCTTAATGAAAAGCTTTTGTGTACTTAAAATCAATTTTCCCAAAAGAGAAAATTAATTGAACGCGTCTTTTTTTTTCAATACTCATTCCCGTATACTTGAAACGATACATAATATTTTGTTTTTTAGTTATTTATTCACTAGTTACATTCTTTACTTAATTGATCGGAAATGGATGATACAACGCAAATAAATGAGCAGCCAATCGATGCTGTTTTCGGTGATAGAGTCAGGAGATTTCAAGAATTCTTGGATAAGATTGATGTGGAAGGTACTCAATATAGAACCGAAATCAAGGACATGTTGATGAAGGGAAGATATAGATTATGTGTGTCATTGGATGAAATACGTGAATTCGATAAAGAATTCTGGAGAGGATTGTTAAATACTCCAGCAGATTATTTACCAGCGTGTGAAAGAGCATTGAGAGATACAGTATTGACCATATACGATCCTACAGATTCGAGGTACGAGGCGATGGACGAAAACCAACAATTTTACTTATCGTTCAAGGGGTCATTTGGTGATCACCAAGTGTCGCCCAGATCTATTAACTCGCACCATCTCTCGCAGATGGTTTCAATTGAGGGTATTGTGACGAGGGCTTCGTTGGTGCGTCCTAAGATTATAAGATCAGTGCATTACGCCGAAAAGACTAGCAGGTTCTATGCTAGAGAATACAGGGACCAAACCACGTCGTTCGATCCGATTTCCACTGCCGCAATCTATCCAACAGAAGATCTTGATGGTAATAAATTGACGACAGAATATGGGTACTCTACTTATAGGGATCACCAGAAAATATCGGTTCAAGAAATGCCAGAAACCGCTCCAGCGGGTCAGTTGCCTAGATCCGTTGATGTTATATTAGATGACGATTTGGTTGATTTGACCAAGCCGGGTGATCGTATTCAAATTGTGGGTGTATACCGTGCGTTGGGAGGTGCTGGTAATGCCAGTGCATCGTTCAGAACTGTCATATTGGCTAATTCCGTCTACCCATTGCATGCAAGATCGACGGGTGTTGCTTCGCTGGAGAAATTGACCGATCAAGACATCAGAAATATTAATAGGTTGTCTAAAGACAAGAAGATCTTTGAAATCTTATCCAATTCCTTGGCGCCTTCTATTTATGGATTTGAATACATCAAGAAGGCAGTTTTATTGATGCTTCTTGGTGGGGTGGAGAAGAATTTAGATAACGGTACCCATTTGAGAGGTGATATTAATATTTTAATGGTAGGTGATCCTTCTACTGCGAAATCTCAAATTTTAAGATTCGTTTTGAATACCGCTTCATTAGCTATTGCCACTACTGGTAGAGGTTCTTCTGGTGTCGGTTTGACAGCAGCTGTTACTACGGACAAAGAAACGGGAGAAAGAAGATTAGAAGCAGGTGCAATGGTTTTAGCTGATAGAGGTATTGTTTGTATTGATGAATTTGATAAAATGTCTGACGTCGATCGTGTTGCTATCCACGAAGTTATGGAACAACAAACAGTTACAATTGCTAAAGCAGGGATACATACATCCTTGAACGCCCGTTGTTCGGTTATTGCAGCTGCAAACCCAGTATTTGGTCAATACGATGTGCACAAAGACCCTCATAAAAATATTGCATTGCCAGACTCATTATTATCTCGTTTTGATTTATTATTCGTTGTTACCGATGATGTTCAAGCTACGAAGGACAGAATTATTTCAGAACATGTTTTGAGAATGCACAGATTCATTCCTCCAGGATTATTAGAGGGAGAACCAATTAGGGAAAGAAGTAACTTATCTTTAGCTGTTGGTGATGACTCGACCAATGAACAAGAAGAATTAGAGCAGCCAATATTTGAAAAATTCAATTCGTTATTACATTCAGGTGTTCGTTCTACGAAATCCAACAAAACTCCAACAATTTTGTCCATTCCATTTATGAAGAAGTACGTCCAGTATGCCAAGCAAAGAATAAAGCCTGTTTTGAGTAGTAAGGCGTCCGAATACATTGTGAATACTTATTCTGCATTGAGAAACGATTTAATTGATAATAACCAAAGACATACAGCTCCAATAACTGCCAGAACTTTGGAAACCTTGATTCGTTTGGCATCTGCACACGCTAAAGTCAGATTATCCAAGACTGTTGAAGTAAAGGATGCTAAGATTGCAGAGGAATTATTGAGGTTCGCTTTGTTCAAAGAAGTCACGAAGAGATCTAAATCCAAGAAACAAAAGACCCACCATGAATCTGACTCCGAAGGTGAAGAAGAAGACGACGAAGAAGAGGCAGAGGAAGAAGAAACCGATAACGAAGACTTACCACCAAGGAGTACAAGAACAAGGTCTAGATTCAGGGGACAAGAACAAGCTGCACAAGATTCACCACCAGCTGATCCAGCATCTTCTCCAAATGAAGCAGAAATGGAAGAACATCTTGATAAATTACACATCACACAACCAGAACAAGATGCTCAAGATGTGAAGCCATTGTCAGAGACTAATGAATCGAATAAATCAGCATCTGGAATAAGCGGTGAAAGGTACTCTACATTTGTAAGATTAATGGCTAGATCAATGCAATCTTCAATTTTCGAAAATGAATCGGGTGCTGCACCAATAGAGCAAGTTATTGAAAGTATCAACCAAGATTTAGAACAAGAAGATGTTTTCGTCGAAGACGAAGTCAGTGCTGCCTTTGACAGAATGGAAGTCGAGAACAAGATCATGGTTGGGGAAGGTAAAGTTTGGAAAATTTAGTGTTGAGAAGGTTATATTTATTTCTTTTTGGGTACGTTTGCTTCGTTTGTAATTTATTCGTTTGTATTTGTATTTTCCGGTCTATAATGCTCTTTAACATACCTTTAGATCATATTATGTATTAATTAATGAAATGAACTGTTTCTAGACATGACAGATGCGCGACTTAAATCGAATTTAATCAGTAAAGTGAATTTTCCGATGAGCTGATGCAGTAAGATGAGTAGTGGTACGGAGCCGATAGACCAAGATGACTATGCTATTGAAGACGAGAATGAGTTGCTAATGCATAACCATAATACGCTTCCAAAGAACTGCAAAAAATACTGGAACAAGAGATATAGTTTGTTTAGTAAATTCGACGAGGGCATCTACATGACTGCAGAGCTTTGGTTTTCCGTCACCCCCGAGGATATTGCCATATATACTGCCCAGTTAGTACTGGAAGTAATGCCTGAGTGTCGTAATGTGTTAGACATATGCTGTGGTGGCGGTGGAAACACCATACAATTCGCCAACTATTTTCCTAGTGTTGGGTCAATCGACATCAATCCGTCCAATATGAAGTGCACGTTGCATAATGCATCTGTGTATGGCGTGGAGGACCGTATCTGGTCCAAAGTAGGCGACTGGAATAAGTTCAGTCTGGTTTTGGCCGACGGATCGCCAAATCAGCTGTGGATTCCCCATCACCTACGCAATATCGAAACCCCGTCAGCCATTTTTGACTTCGTGTTTTGTTCTCCTCCATGGGGTGGTCCCTCCTACAAAGATGCAAACGGATTCGACGTGTACAGCATGCAGCCTTTCCCCATCGACCAATTGTGCCATCAAGTCATGCAATACACCCAGAATTTCGGACTTTTTCTTCCCAGAAGCACCAATATTGACCAGCTCAGACGCTTAACCACAGACATATACGGAGAATCGGGTAAATGCCGTATTATCTTCTTGAACATCAATGGTTATTGCAAGGGTCTACTTGCGCTTTTTGGTCCTACGGTTTCTGCGGATTCAGTCGATTGCCATTCATTTCTTCCCGAAGAACAATACAGCGACTACTAGGTATACACTACAGCATCTCACCGTGGTTCCACCAACATTCCAGTCAGTATGTTGGGATTTTCCCACCAGTATCTACTATCAAGGCATCGAAATGGCACCGCGTGCGCGGCCCAAAACGACAGAAGAGACAAAATCCATAAAATGAGAAAAAAGTCTCCCTTAATGATGTTTACAAGGAAAAAACAAACAAACTTGACCGACATTTTGCAATTATACCATTTGAGACAAATCAGTTAATTGAAATGGAAGGCATAAACAATAACATGAAAGAAGATTTGAATGCGTCGAGGCTTTTACCGGGCGAGGGTAACGTTGAAACTACCAATCGGTCGCCCAATTCGAACCGAAACGTTGATAATGGGATGGAAAGCATAGACGAGACAGAGTTCTCGAATCACTACATACAAGAGAGTTTCGACAAGATTAATGACGCTATTAGCAAGATCGAGGGAGACAAGTTGGCGGGGATCACACAGGAGTTGTCGTATTTGAGACATGTGTTGGACTATCAGAACACGAAGATCGAGAAGTTGACGGGCTTGATGGCTGATTTTTTGGAGAATAAGAACCAGAATGCGATCATTAGCTCGTTGCAGGCGATACAGGACAGTGACAACCAGAAACAGGCCTCTGACCACGACCAGATGGCGCAACAGGTGCAGGGACAGTCCGGAGACGGCGATCACCACGACCAGGTGGGTGACGGGTCATCGGGGATGCCATCGTATCAGGACTCGTTAGCCAATGCGTCGGTGCATCTCGACAGCAATATGGACCCACAATTGCACCAGGTGGCTGCGGCGGCGGTGCAGCAAGCGGAGGAACAAGCGGCACAGGTCCACCAACCCAACGTGAATATGGACAAATACCGCAAGAAGATCTACCTCAAGCGCAAGACCACACCCGACGACCCATCCGCGTCATCGCCGCAGGATCCTGACTCGCTTCGCGACTCCAAGAGGCCCAAGATCTCCATCGATTTCCTCCACAACCCCATGACCGTTAAAGAGATCTACGACGAGTTCACCAAGGGCTTCCGCGGCCAACCACCGCTCTGCGAGATGGACTCTCGCTTCGGCAAGCACGAATGGAGGGGCGACTCACGCTCCAAAGAATCCAAACGCTACCAGCGTAGAAAGAAGCTCTGTGACTCCATCGCGAGGGGCATGCAAAAGTACGACAAATCTGCCGAAGAGATCATTCGCTACATCGAAGAGTTCCGTGGCGACAAATCGCTTACCTGGGTCATGAACGGTAATCTTCCCTCTGACCTACACATATAGCTGTCCTACTTTATTCTTCTATGTTACTGTTCTACTATGTATTATAATTTGACGTCGCATTCTCACGTAATATATCCCATCACCTTATATAACATCTAGTCTGTCAGTCAGTCTGTTTCGACATATGTCCCGTTACATTTCCGATGTTCTCCGGTGTCATTTCTTTCAGGCCTCATATTCTGACCAATCCTTCCAGAAGGTTCCACAAGATTCCGTCGGATAAACGTCCGGGTAAAATTTGGTGAGCGGTTAAAATTTTCACTCTATATAACCATTCCGACAACCGCAGTGAGGATTTTATATATTATATATCCATCTAAGTTGATTTTATTAACAAAGAATATCTAGTATTAATAATAGCAAGATGTTAGCAGCTAGAAACTCACTTAAGAACGTTGTTCGTCGTTTACCAGGCTCTAGCCGTGCCAACTCCACCGCAGCTCCAGGTGGCCCAGTTATCGGTATCGATTTGGGTACTACCAACTCGGCGGTTGCAGTCATGGAAGGTAAAATTCCAAAGATTATTGAAAACTCGGAAGGTGGAAGAACCACTCCTTCTGTTGTTGCTTTCACTAAGGATGGTGAAAGGTTAGTTGGTATTCCAGCCAAGAGACAAGCCGTTGTTAACCCAGAAAACACTTTGTTCGCTACCAAGCGTTTGATCGGTCGTCGTTTCGAAGATGGCGAAGTGCAAAGAGATTTGAGTGAAGTTCCATACAAGATCGTCAAGCACGGTAACGGTGATGCATGGATCGAGGCCAGAGGTGAAAAATACTCTCCACAACAAATTGGTGGTTTCATCTTGAACAAGATGAAGGAAACTGCCGAAGCTAACATGGGTAAGCCAGTCAAGAACGCCGTTGTCACTTGTCCAGCTTACTTCAACGATGCCCAAAGACAAGCCACCAAGGATGCTGGTAAGATTGTTGGGTTAAACGTGATGAGAGTCGTTAACGAACCAACCGCCGCCGCTTTAGCCTACGGGTTAGAAAAGAACGATGGTGAAGTTGTTGCTGTTTTCGATTTAGGTGGTGGTACTTTCGATATCTCCATCTTGGATATCGGTGCCGGTGTTTTCGAAGTTAAGTCCACAAATGGTGACACCCACTTAGGTGGTGAAGATTTCGACATTGCTGTTGTCAGAAACATTGTCGAAACCTTCAAGAAGGAATCAGGTATTGACTTATCCAAGGACAGAATGGCCATTCAACGTATCAGAGAAGCCGCTGAAAAGGCCAAGATCGAATTGTCATCTACCGTCAACACTGAAATCAACTTGCCATTTATCACAGCTGACGCCTCCGGTCCAAAGCACATCAACCAAAAGATCTCCAGAGCTCAGTTTGAATCTTTAGTCGAACCATACATCAAGAGAACTGTCGAACCATGTAAGAAGGCTTTGAAGGATGCCGGATTATCTACTTCTGACATTTCTGAAGTTATCTTAGTCGGTGGTATGTCAAGAATGCCAAAGGTTATTGACACTGTCAAGTCCATCTTCGGTAAGGAACCATCCAAGGCTGTCAACCCTGATGAAGCCGTCGCTATGGGTGCCGCTATTCAAGGTGGTATCTTAGCCGGTGACGTCACTGACGTTGTCTTGTTAGATGTTACCCCATTATCCTTAGGTATTGAAACTATGGGTGGTGTCTTTGCTAGATTAATCTCTAGAAACACCACTATTCCAGCCAAGAAATCTCAAATTTTCTCCACTGCTTCTGCTGGTCAAACTTCCGTCGAAATTAGAGTTTTCCAAGGTGAAAGAGAATTAACTAGAGACAACAAGTTAATCGGTAACTTCACCTTATCTGGTATTCCACCAGCTCCAAAGGGTGTCCCACAAATTGAAGTCACCTTCGACATTGACACTGATGGTATCATCAAGGTTTCTGCTCGTGACAAGGCTTCTAACAAGGACGCATCTATCACTGTCGCTGGTTCTTCCGGTTTGTCTGACTCTGAAATCGAAAAGATGGTTAACGATGCCGAAAAATTCGCTGAATCTGATAAGGCCAGAAGAGATGCTATCGAATCTGCTAACAGAGCTGATCAATTATGTAACGATACCGAAAACTCCTTAAACGAATTTAAGGAAAAGATTGACGCTGCCGATGCCGACAAGGTCAAGGAACAACTTAACTCATTAAGAGAAATCGTCGTCAAGGCTCAAGCCGGTGAAGAAGTTGATGCTGCTGAATTAAAGAACAAGACCGAAGAATTACAAAATGAATCATTAAAGGTTTTCGAAAAGTTATACAAGAACAATGAAAGCAACAATGAATCTTCTTCCGAAGAACCAAAGAACTAAATGTAATTAACCGTTCTTTGTTTTGATTCCAGCTCTGTCTCATTGTATTTATGATTCTAAATGCTACTTTTGTACTGTTTTAGTCAGGGCGTAACTGTTTTAACCTGTATATATTGTCAAAAATAATATTAATGAACTTTATTATATTATCGAATTATAACTGTTGTAGTCTATGGATGCTATTTAATTTCATTAAGTCCTACTTGGAACCCTTGCGATCTTTTCATGGAACGAACCAGACCAGACGCTGATTTCTGATCAGGCCTTTTTCTCGATATAGTTGTGTTTCTTCTCAATATCGTACCGTATCTCTTTCCTATTCCAAGATCGGAGCTTGTGGTGCTACTGGCACTCCTTATGAAGTTTTCGTAGCGAATAGTGGAGGCATGAGAAGAATCCGAGTAAACAGAAGAGGAAACCAGCTCATTATCGGAGGAATCATAATCCAACATTTCACCCAACATTGACCTTCTATTATAGGCTTTATTGAATTTTTGAGTAGGCAAATCTACAATATCAGATTCGGTACCGATATCAGAACCAGAAAGGGTTTCTGTTTCGCTTATAGATTTACCCAGTGTGCTTTCAGATTCCGACACATATTCAGATTCAGATTCAGATTCAGGACCATCATAATGAGCTTCTATTTCCTTAGACATAACGTCATCGACCATAAATTTGGCGCCGTTACTTGCAGCCAATGTTTGAAAGAAGACAATCTCTTGTCTTAATTGGATTCTCTGACTGATAACATGACTCAAGTATCTTTTCCATGCGCCAATAACATCATTTGCTTTTTCTCCTTCTACTGTACTGAAATTACTATGCTCAAGATGAGGTGGGGGTGTTGGTGGTATTTCTTCAATATCACTGGTTGAGTTATAAGAATGCATGACATCTTTCTTTCTGATAGTATTGTTACCATAGTTTATAGAACTAGACTTTGTTTTAGTATACATTGAATTAATGTATGTATCTTGCTGTTCGTCAATATATCCAGATATCTGATTTTGTTTAATGGTGTTCGCCATATCATTAGGGTCCCCTACTGCACCTGCTTGATGCTTCAATCTAGCATCTAATGTGTCGACTCTTTCAGTTTCTCCTCTACCCAATTGAGGATTTGAATAGGGCACTGAAATTTCCTTGCTGGTTAATCTTCTAACGGCAGCATTTTGTGGGTTTTTACGATATTTACGTTTCAATTTTTTACCCCTGGTGTTCGATCTCTTGATACTCCCAGTTCTCTTCGATGAAACCGTAAAATTATTGAATTTTAAGGCCTTTAATTTCTTGCCAAGTTGCTTCATTCTAACTTTAAGCCTGTAATACCAACCACCTTCTTTGAATTTAATTGCCTTGGTTCTGGCAAGATTTGAACCATTAGATTTTGGTTTTGACAACTTAAATAACCGTCTTTTCTCTTGTCTTGTTGAGAAAATGGTAGATTGGGAGCCTGTAGCGGAAGTCGTACGTCTCACTTTTGCATTATTCCCCGACTGGCCAGACACTCGCCTCTCATTCGAAATTCTTATATTTTCTGCTTCTCTTATCCCTGGTACATCCAAACTATATATTGATATCGAATCAAGTGTCAAGTTATCTAATTTATGAACGTCATTTAGAACTTGTTGGTCAATTATAAATTGTGAGAATCTTTTAGGAACTTGATTGAAAAGATTTTCATCAATTTGCCCACGAACAGGGGTATTATGATTATCATAATGCCCTTGCTGTTTAACAGGGGTGTTAGCCATATTAATATGTGACGTGTTTGGGTATAATGGATCCCTATTCTCAAACTGGTTTAGTAAACTGGCAGTACCCATGGAATTTGTATTATCTGTTGGATTGTATGGCATCGAGAACGACCCCGACTTGGTGGATCTAGATCCTGTTGCGGCATGCTTAGCTTCTCTTAGCTTATCACTTGATTTGTTCGAGTTAGCAAGCTCATTTGACCCTTTTGAACCAAACGAAAAATTTAGTGGGATATCTCTGTATGATGGTTGAACTCCTTGAGGATACGGCCCTGTACTCATTTTTTGTACACTATATTATTCTAAATGTATCTCAAATGAAGAAGGCAATATTGTAACACCTTAGAATTATTAAAATCTAGATCAAATAGAGAAGAATTTGTCGTTTGATTCATCAGATCTATTTTTTGGCCATATTTTGATAACAAATGGCTGGCTAAAATTTGCACCCAGCCATCTTTATATACAGGAACGGAACACTTTTATAGATAATGAATAAAAACTTGTATTCGTAAGATATAAATTAAACTATGTATTGTAAACTCCAGAGGTTTAATAATACGGAGCACAACAACATTTTGAATACCTGAAACTAAATAGGAAATAAACAAAATAAAGCATAACAAACTAAAGACTTATTTTTAAGAGTTCTAATTATTTGGCTTTAGCTAAACTGACAGTGTGCTTCTCTAAGTCGTAGATAGAGTAGTATCTTCTCAAGAAAGCATCACCAATAATAGCTAAATCACCAATTGGTTCTGGGAAGTCCATTGGAGTGAAAACAGAAATACAAGAACCACCAACTTCTAAAGTATAGTCATATGGAGATAAAGTAAAGTTGTGACCAGCGAATGTCAAAGTTAAGTCCGGTAAGGAATCTCTCTTTTCACATTCAATTTGATATTGACCAGACCAAGACTTTTCGGCACCAATCTTAGAGTTGATAATCTCGGCTAACGAAGATGGTAATGTGATTAACGAAGTACCAGTATCAATGGCAGCACCAGTATTGGTCAACTCGGCGTATTCATCGCCTAAACCAATACCTTCGAAAGCAACCTCCCAGTAGGCCTTTCTTCTGACAGGTAAATCCACAACTTTTCCGGTGTATAACTCCTTGTCAATACCACCGAATGTAGCAACACCCCCATCTTCCTCGTTCTTCGAGTTGTCACCTAAGTAGAAAGCAAATCTTGGTTCTTCCAATAAACCTTGTTCGATAGCATTGTAGACTGGAGGAACAATCTTGTTGACAGAAATAGTGTTGTAGGCTAAACCTAAGATACCGTCAAACTTACCAAAGGCAAACGCTAACCCCGGTTCGCTGGTAGCTTCAGCAAAATCTTGCTTTGGAATAATCAAGTCACCAATGGCCAACGTGTCTTGCGAAACGTATCCCTCCATGGCACCACTACCATATTGGATCGAGAACGACGACCCGTTAGCCTTGTAAGTGGAGGAAGAGTCATGGGCGTACTTGGAGTGCAAGAAACAGGCCAATGACGAGCAATCTTCGGATGGAACCCACAAATTCGAAGAACCCGTATCTAAAATAACCTTGAACGACTGTCCTGGTGTACCCAATTGAATTTCAGTGAAATATTGTGCATTCAAGTAGTTGGTCAATGGTGCGTCATGTCTGCCCTCCGTAGGACTGATAAATGGCACCTGTGCCTCCGAACCCGGATGTTGGCCCCCAAAAGCAACGGGGTTTCCATTGGCCGCATTGAAAATATTCAAATACTTGTTAGCCAATCCGTTGGTATATTCCTTGAAAGTATTAACATTCAATGTTTCTTCAACAGGGATTTTGCTAATTTTAGCAGAGTGTGTGGCTGCATCTGCGCATGGTAAGCTCAATAATGCAGTAGCGATGGTGGTAAAAACAGATAAAGAGAATTGCATCCTTGCCTGTCCTTCTATAGTATTCTTTCTTTAATATTAGCAATTAATTAGACTACTTAAGTATAATATCCTTTTAGTGGCAATATTATCTCTTCCTTGGTCCTACTCCTTTTGGAGTGACTAGCCTCTTTTACAGGTTAGATAGATTAGAAAAGATAGATGAATATTTGCATGTTAGCTATTTAGCCGAGGAACAAAACCCAAGGCCGATGAGATGAAATAGCTGTGAAATACCTATTAACAGCTATAGATATTAGCAGAACAGACAGAAAATGGTTTTAGGGTTCTTTAAATCACATGTGGATAACAAGTATCCAACTACACCTTTGAAATTTACGGGGAAAGATTCGGGAGAGGCTACACTTGAGGATATTCTTTCACATAAAGTTCCGGAGTTGTATAAGGGTGCATCGTTTTGGTATAATCCGTTATTACCATCAGGAGACTTCCAGACGGCGTATACCGGGTTGAAGAAGTTTGAGAACGTTGATAAGGTTTGCTACAAGAGACGCATTTTGAATATTGAGCTGGAGGACAAGACATACGAAGTGGAGGGAGAAACATTGAAGTACGATGATTGGGAAGGTCGAAGCACGATTGCTATTGATTACGTTGTTCCTCCAGGCATGGAAGATGCTAGTCACGAGAAGTACAGGCCGGCGAGTCAGACCAAATATCTACCTCCTAAAACTGAGTATTTGAATCCGGAACACGAGCATGAACTCTTGTGCGACGATTCGAAGCCATTAGTGATTGCATTGCACGGATTGTCGGGTGGTTCGTACGAATCGTACATCAGGGCATTTTTAAGTAAGGTGACGGATAAACCATACAATTTTGATGCGTTGGTGTTGAACTCAAGAGGATGTGCCAACCATACCATTACGTCTCCCCAGTTGTTTTGCGGGTTATGGACAAACGACTTACGGTACTTGATTAATGAGCACATTAGACCCAACTGGCCTAATAAGCGGATCTATCTTATAGGGTTCTCGTTAGGAGGAGCTATCTGCGCTAACTACTTAGGACAAGAGGCCGATAACACATATCACAACATCAAGGGTGGTGCCATCATGGGATGTCCATGGGATTTTCCCGATTCATGTATTCAGTTACAATCTAGTTTGCTTGGGAACCATATATATTCGCCAACGATGTGTAACAATTTGGTGGACTTGTTGAATGAACACTACGAGGGTCATTTGCGTAGCAATCCGTTAGTCGATGCATACAAGAAAAATCCAGAAAACTTCAAATTGGGCAAGTTGAAGGACTTCGACGACAATTTCACGTCGAAGCTTTTTGGTTTCAATTGTGCAGACGAGTATTACAGACATGCATCCCCGATCCAAAGATTGTTAAAAGTTAGAGTACCTCTTGTCATTGTAAATTCCATTGACGACCCAGTTATTGGATACAGGACGCTTCCGTTCAACGAAGTTAGACTAAACCCATTCACGGCTCTTGTGACTACTACAACTGGAGGCCATCTTGGATGGTTTGATTATAAAGGAAACAGATGGTACGCGGATCCTATTTCTAGGTTATTCAAAGAATTGGATGACAATTGGACGTTCAATGAAAAAAGTGTAGAAGAAAAAGATCTACCAGTCGATACTACAAAGATCTGGAAGTATGATAGAATAGTTATGTAATTTATAGCATTTGGTTATATTTTGTAAATATCATTTTGAAATCTACTAAGGAGCGATGTGTACAAAAATGAGCAGATGAAAGATCAACCGAATTTAATTTTGAAATAATACAGTATTTACTATATTTAAGGAGTATAACTATATCCAATGACTTCTACTAACGTTAAAGTCCCTGGAACTGCTTCGTCAAAGAAAAAGCGTGTATCTAATGAGGTGTTAAAGAGTCAATCGAAGTCCAGGTCTGAATCATTGAAATGGGTTAAATCCATAAGAGCTCTACCAACTAACCCAAATAATAATGACAACTTGAAAACTGAGTATATTGATGTTAATTTAAACAATTCCAGAAAATTGATTGGCAATATCAGTGATTTAATGGAAACCACAGATAAATCCGTTAAACATAATCATGAAGTTAATGAAAGTTTAGCCAGATTAAACAACATAAAACATGAATTAGCATGGTTGAATGGATTATAATATGTTTATCAAATAATGTATAAAATCTATATCGCAATAGCTATAAACGAAAGTCCTGTAAAATAAAATTCAGACGCCAAAACAAAAGAAAAGAATGAAACGAAATGAAAGCAGAATTGAAAATATCACTGGGATGATCCTTGAGTTCCACCGCGAGCTGGGTCTTTATCGTCGTCTTCGTCTGAAATAATGAATTCTTGTAACGAAATATCATCCCTATCAACCGAATACTTACCGTTATCCACAACATTTTGCTCTATATCGGGACTTGTATTATCGTTTGGCTTATACTTCACTACGATAAACGCATTTCCAATTATAATTATGATACCTAGGATACTTAAGATACCTGGGAGATGGCCCCAAAATATTAAGTCCCAGATAATAGCAAACACCATATTGGTATAACTCATCAATGCAGCCCGGCCAGCACTAACTCGTTGGACGCCGGCAGTCAAGGAGAATTGCATTAAGAATCCGAAGATTCCAATCAAAAAGAAAAGAAACCATTGATAATTATTCTGCGGCACTGCAAAAGATAATGACGGCAAGGAGATTATCGAGATAAAGGAAATGAGAACACACGTTAATGCAAAGTAGCTTACTGAAAGCAATGGATGAGCATCATGCCCTATTTTCCTTAAAATGATATAAACAGACGATGCTCCCAAAACCCCTATTAATCCAATCCCTGAAGCAAGCAACCTTTTTTCAGTGGAAGACGATTCTATAGAATCATCCCCTGAAAGTTCTGATTCACCAAATATGAAGTTCGGTTTTGCAATTAAGATGACACCACCCAAAGAAATAATCCCACAAGCAGCTTCTATTAATGAATATCTTTCATGTAAGATAACCCATGCTAAGAATGCCGTAACCATGGGAACAATAAAAGTGATTGCAACTGCATCTGATAAACTAAGATATTGCAACGAGAAGTAGAGGCCGAAGACTCCGAAAAATCCAAAAGCACCTCTCATAAATAACAAATTACGTAGCTTCTTGGGACCAAATGGTGCATCTGGAACACATTTCGTTACGAACATGTACGCCACACAACAAATATATGTAATAATCATTCTTGCAAACAAGATCTGCAAAGGATGTATAGGTGTCTGAAATTCCTTATCTGTTATCAACAACTTACATGTAGTGATCATTATAGAATTAAATAACTGGGATAATATCAAAAGCGAAATCCCAACATTAGGTAAGATGTACTTTTCATATATGGACTCTTGAACAAATCTCCGTGTTCGTCCATACCATCCCATATAGCTATCGTTAGGTATATCAAGTAATAAATCATCGAATGAGTTGTTATTAATGAATGAATCATCATTCTGCAAATCCGGCGGATTCAAATTTTCATTACTAACCTTATCTCTCAGATCCGATAGTATATTTGACTGCTGTAGCTCTGTATCTTTAATCATTTAACTTACTATATTAACTGAAATAAGTTAATCCGTATCTATAGTTTAAATTACTATTTACTAAGTGTATAGGAGTAGAAAGCTTCAAAGGGTGAAATATTTATCCTTCAATCTATTACCCCATGTATGTACGGAGACTAATTAATTTGCCTGTCAATATCGGTCCGATGAGATTTACAATATATCCTAAAGTATATTATACACTGGATCTTATTTTCATTTTAAGAAAACGACTTCGTGGCCAAGTTGGCTAAGGCGTGAGACTGTTAATCTCAAGATCGTGAGTTCGACCCTCACCGAGGTCGTCTTTTATTTTTTTTCACCTTGCTACATTATAATTGAAGTAGAAGAATAAAAGATCTACAATAGCATATACAAATCAATTGTTTTATTTTGATTAATAATAAATATTCAAGAATGCGTATAAATTATCCCACGTCTATAATTAGTAGTATATTAATGAAATTTTGCAATTTTTAGATTATGAAATAGATAGATAATGATACAAAAAAGTGTATCGTTTATAAAATAGTACAGCATGTTTGATTAGCCTTTTGGACCAACAAGCTTGTTCTTGTCGCATATTCGAATATATCGTCTACACCCTCGCCGTATAATGCCGAACTCTCTAAGTATTTCTTAGCATGCATTTCTTTGGCTGCTATCTCGCCCTGATGAAATTGGACAAACTTTGTTTTATTAGAGGATTCCACTCTAAGATCCTTCTTTAATCCAACTAATAGATAAGGTGTATTAGGACAGTATTTGGTGACTTCCTCGACCCATTTTGTTCGAGCATTATCCAATGAATCAGGTACATCTATAGCAAAGCCAATCAAGATTACATGCGAATTGGCATAGCTCAATGGACGCAATCTTTCGTATTCTTCCTGTCCAGCCGTATCCCATAAGGCCAATTGAACTGCTTTTCCATCGACTCTGCAATCCGTGACATAGTTCTCAAATACTGTGGGATGGTATTCAGTAGGAAATTCTCCTAATGTGAATACAAACAACAACGAAGTTTTCCCACATGCTCCATCTCCCACTATGACTATCTTTCTTTTCAATGAATTATCTGGCATTTGTACTTATTGATACCTGTATCACATAAATTTTCAAATGTACATATATTGGCCAATGTATAAATGAGTCTTCTCTATTATGAAATATATATTAATTTTCTCTTTCTTTTCTTAAACAGATGCTTTTATACAAATCAAGAAGCCAGGTGGACCATACTATTCTTCCTATGAAGGAAAAATTGGAATATTAAGTATTTGTGATAATATTCCGATTAAGAGTTTTATGTCCCTAATTTTGGTGTAGAAAATTCAATTATGTAAGCAATAGCTCTTTCCCTATTACTCTATACTAATACTACAAAACATAATACTACAAAACATAATACCATGGATCATAAATTATATGATGGAAGCTATATACCTCATAGATATTGTACACTATTTATCAGTTCAATTCCATAATCCACGTACCCCATTTGAAAATGAATTAGGATTATTATTAATATCGCTCAATGTATTCAATAAAGATTCATTGTCATTGACTGCGGCATTCCCTAGTCCCATGCCGTTAATGGATTGTGTATTGAGATTGTTATGTGGAGGTTGCTGAGGTATATTAGTTGAAGATGCCTTGATATGTGTTACTGTTCCGAAGTCGTCGTATATAAAATCAAATCTGTATCCTGACAATGAGCCAGTATTTCTACACGAGGTTAGAAATTGGTTAAGTGTAAGTCCCTGGTTTGAAAGAATCGTCTTGGCTGTCTGAAACAATTTCAAACTAGGAGCCACACCAAATTCTAATTGATTTGAATTTTGTAAGAACTGGAATGCTTGGTATGCAGCAGCTTGAATTAGATCACTGTCTAGATTATTCGGATTACCTCCAACCCCTATTGCTCCAACAGGAGGTGCCGGGACAGAATTGCCCCACAAGGTCGAATTTGAAGAAACATTTGGAGAATTGCTCCATATAGAATTGTTTCTAGATGTAGCACCAGGATTCCAGACACTTGAAGGCTGAGCAGTTGTTGCAAATGGTTCGTTAAAACCAGTTGTATTTAAGGGAGTTGTATTAAGATTTTCATTTGCATTCGAGGAAAGCGAGTTTTGATTCAATGAACTGTTAAATGGACTAAACGCATTGGAAGAAAGTTGTGGTTGATATACTGGTGGAGCTTGAGTATTGGCATTGAAAGCTTGCGATGACCAAGGCGAAGGGACTGCTTGATTGTTCACATTACCATTATTTGGTAAAATATTATGGCCAGACGGTGATAAAACAGAAGGCAACATGCCATTTGAAGAAAGATCTGGGATATATCCAGGTGTAACATTATTGATTTGAGGCGTGGAGTTTGTTGAATTTGATAAAGATCTTGGCTTAGCAAGATACAACTGATCCAATATATGATTCTTCGTAGGGGATTTGACCCTTGGTTCCTGAGGTTGCGCTAATAATGTTTCTGGAACCACCGGCGATGGAATGTTAAAGTTTTGGCCTAATCTTGCATTTTCAAGGTCTCTGGACAATTGACTTATATCTGCCGAACTTCCTGTCTCATTATGATCTTGTTTTTTTAACGATTTCGAACGTTCTTCTTCGATCAGTTTCTTCTGTAACTCTTTTTGCCTCTTTTCTTCCTCCTTCTGCTTACGTTCTTCTTCTACCTTTTTCTTTTTTTCGTCCTTAAGTTTCTTAGTTTCTTCTTCCTTTTTACGCTGAGCTTCTAATCTCTTTTGCTGCTCTAATTCTTTTCTTTTCAATTCCTCAATTCTCTTTCTTTTCTCTTCTTCTCGTTTTTGCTTTGCTTCCTCCTTTTTACGCCTTTGTTCTGCTTTTAAAGCTTCCTGCTTTTGCATCAATTCTTCTTCTTTTGCTTTTTGTTCTTCTTCTTTCTTTCGTCTTTCCTCTTCTTTTGCTAATTGTTGAAGCCTTTTCTTTTCTTTAGCCTTCTCCTTCTGTCTTAACTTTTTCATTTCCCGCTCTTTTTTCGCATTTTCTTCTGCTTCTAATTCTTCAATCAATTTTCTCGTTCTATCTTGTGAAAGCTTTTCCTTATATGCGTTCTTGAGCCTTTCTTGAAATAATTTAATGACCTGTATTAAGAATAAACGGCGAATTTCCTGCATTTTTTCTTCCTCAGAAATTTCAGACTCAGTATCACTAGCATCCTCCTCTTCATCTTCCTCAAATTCTTCATCATCTAAATCTTCTTCCTCTTCCTCGCCTTCATCTTCATCTTCTTCTTCTCCTTCTTCTTCATCTTCGTCCTCCTCATCATATTCATCATTTATTTCTTCTAATTCTTGAACTTGGTGAAGGTCAGGTTTAGGAATCGATATATCTGTATCCGCCTTAGTATGATCATCTTCATCAATCCAGGCAGCCGTGGGCTCTTTATCGAATTTCTCCTTCAATAAGTCTTCTCTCGCTGTTCTTGATTCCGAGAGCGACTCCATCATATCAATAAAGGAATTACCATCATTTTTCAATAAGTCCTCAGCAAAACTTGAAAGTCCATTAGATATTTGCTCATTTAAAGTGTCATGATTCATCGTATTGTTCATGTCGCTAGAAAATATTTTCCCCATATTTTGTAAGAAAGCCATTCCTTTCTCTAATTCAACCTTATCGGCTTTATGTAAGTCTCTAATGATATCTCTTAGAGATCCAGCCTTTTCAAGTATATGTGCCAGATGATTATTTGCAGGCGTATCTTTCATTTTTTGAAAGTCAAGGTTCTCTAAAGCTTCAAATAACTTAGGATCGAGAAGCTTGTGAAACACCCTCTGTTCTTTTGTCGCTATGGACAGCTCATTATTATTTGATTCACCACCTAATTCTTTAGTTAATTCATCATCAAGAGACTTCTGTAAAACTGCTTCCTGAGAGAGTTCATCTTCATTGTTCAACTCTTCTATTTGATCATAATGAAAATGACTATGACTATGGTTGTGACTAGGGTCGTGGCTATGACTATGACCACGATTATGGTTATCGCTGTGGCTATGACTATGACTATGGCTGTGTGCATTCCTGTTTCCACATTCTTCTTCATGTTCACCCTCTTGGAAGGCATGTTCGATTTCATGTTCATATTGTTGTTGTTGATCTTGTTGGGTAGAGCCTTCATAATCAACATTTAAACGTGTATCGCTAAATATATGTCCCGGTTTATGATTATGGTGATCATGGTGGGCATCTCGCTCTTGTTTGGATTTATATTTCTGTTGTCGTTTTTGAAGTTTATGCTCTTCCTCCAACATATGAAATCCGCCAAACAAAAGCCCAGGTAATGCATTAAGATCGTTTATATCTCGAACTTCATGGATAAAATCTATAATATCATCAAAATGATTATCGTATATGTTCTCCAATTCGTCTTCAATAAAATTATTTTTACGGCCACAATAAGAACAAGTACATGCGCCATTGGATGAATTAGATGGGACGCCCGTTATATTCACATTGGTGCTGGATCCATTGAGCGCTCCACCACTAGCACCCATCAGACCTCCTTGAGCATTGCTATTATTTTGATGGTTATTCAGTGTATTGACTGTCTTACTTTCATTCTTGAATATATCCATTATAGATTTCTTGTCAACTTTCACCAACTCAATTTTTTGGGCTTCATCCAACGACTCCCAGAATGCCTTCAAGTTCTCTTGCTCTTCTAATGTAGCATTATCCCATATATTCGCCGTCACAGATTTGGCATGTGTATCTGAAGGCTCATCCAAACTTTCAATTATTACGTCTCCATTAGGAGCTTGTTTTATCACTCTAGATGTTGGGTACTCTACATCTGGATCGTTCAATGTCGCTTCCACATTTGGCAATCCTTTATGCTTGTTCTTACTCTTCTTCTTCTTTTTCTTCTTCTGTACATTTGTTGAATTTATCGTTTGGTCGTTGGTACTACTGTTATAATCAAAATGAACATCATCTCCATTCTTGAACTTCGAAACATCTATCGGATCAGACTGAGTTTCCGACATCTTAGTTTGCTCTTTACTCTTCCAGCAATAACGATCTATTACTATAAACGAACTTAAGATACTGATAACTTTTATTACATAACCTTCAATTCATTTACCAAGCTATTCGCACTAAAAAAAATTGTTCACAAAATTAAATTGAAGAACTACTACAGTAATAAAAGATATGATACTAGAGAATTATAAATATGCCGAAACTAGATGAGTTAAATAGAACTATTATTCGTTGAAATAATTACCTACGTTATCAAAAAGATGAAACAGTTTCTCAAGGTATGAAGTTGACATTAGCAGTTGATACTGGACAGTGTTGCGGGTAACAGAAACGTACTCAGCTAAGACAGTATTTAGCAGCCAGTATGTAATGAAATATCCGGTTATACAGGAGGAACAAAGTTGCAAAAAAGATGTAGAGAAATAAATGTAAATAAGTCAATCAACTAGTCCATGGAGTCACTTTTTTTCTTCAAGTTTCTTACGCAATTCTTGATTTTCACTTACTACTGTTTCTACTAGGGTAGTAAGCTTATCAATCTTGTTATAAATTTCGTAGAACTCCCATTTGATGCCAGCTTTGCTGGCCTCGTTGACAGGCTGAACAACCTTCTCGATGTCTGCTTCAAATTTTTGTAAATCAATACGGAATTCGGAATCTTGACTCTCGCCGAGAATCTGCTCACGAAGCGTAGCATTGACTTCCGAGTCTCTTTCTTGAATTCCTGAATCAGCATCGGCATCATACCCATCTGTTAAGTCCCATTCGGTATCAAGTTCATTGGAGTCGTCTGGTACCCCTTTGTATCTATTGTATTGGATTCTTCTAGCATTCTGCAATTCATCAATGGTGATGTAAGTTAATAGTGGAGAATAAATAATCAACATTATGAAGTGATTAATGAGTCTGAAAGTGGATTTGCTGACAACTAAAGAGAAAGGGATAACAATCAATTCTATGAGGTTCAATGGAGGAACGTAAAGCTCTTGGTCTGGGGCTCTCACATACCTCAATGTCTTTTGAGCAACCAAAGCAAAATATTCATCAGTTGCGTTCTCGA